GCAGCCACCACAGAGCAAGTCATTGCTAGAGTACTGGCCAGTAATTGAGGCACGTACAGGATTTGTAAAGGCACATAAAGTGAGTCTGGTACAGATAGGAGCATTGCCACATTTCACTCATCCTGTGATGTGTATTTTATTACCTTTCGACATCACTGTCTCACTATTGACAGAATGTCAGAGTTTAATTGGCAATTTTGTTCTCTTTCTTAGTGGTACATAAGTGGTATTTTAGATGAAATAAGGTAATGTATTAGGCTGATGTGTATCAACATGTCTCTTGATACCCTTGGTCCAGAAATGTTCTCACAAAAGAGGAACTCCCCATCTCCTATGGGAAAGAGCTGTAACAAGGAAGAGCAATTTGCAAATTCATAAATTAGGGATCTTGAACTTCCACTGTCCATAATAAACACTCATTATAATTAATGTGATCATTTGTGGTTTATAGGTATCAGTGCTTGAAAATGTTTGCTAAGGTCAAGTTCAGGCTATGAAACAAAAGTTCTTTCATGTGTTCCTGACAAGTAATGGCTTCAGTCAAGGCAGAACTTTATGCTAAAGATTAATACCTCATTAGCCTTGACAACAGAAGTGTAATGGAGTGTCTCTGCACAGCCCAGGCTGGGATTCAGAGTCTGGTTGTATCCAGAGCTGATGAGTCATGATCCTTTTCTGCATTTATTGGCATGAGTCATTATGTTCATAATGTTAAAAAGCAAGTTACTAAATAATATCGACAGCATGATTCTAGTCTTTTTTTATGTGTATATGTATATGTTTAGCCAGTGTATTCCAAGTTCTTGTCTACATTAATATCTTAAATTGCTGTGCCCTAAAATGTAGGCTTTAGAGTCTAAATCCTCATTACTTGAAGTAGTATCAGGAAACACCTGTGAGCTTGTTAGAAATACAGAAATCTCAAGCCCCATCTTAGACCTGCTGAATTAAAATATGTATTTAAAATGCAAACTTTCACATCAACCGATGAGTGGATAAAGAAAATATGGTATATCCATACAGTGGAGCCATAAATAGGAATGAAATACTGATACATACCACAACATGGATAAACCTTGAAAACATTATACTAAGTGAAAGAAGCCAGACACAAAAGGCTGCATATTATGTGATTCCATTTATATGAAATATCTGGGATAGGCAAATCCTTAGAGACAGAAAGTAGAGTAGTGTTAGCCGGAGGCTAGGGGAGCGGAGGAATTGGGAGGCACTGCTAATGTCTATAGAGTTTCTGCTACGGTGATGAAAATCTGGAATTAGACAGTGGTGGTGGTTGCTCAACATTGTGAATAAACTAAAAAATACTGAACTCTACTTTAAAAATGTAAATTTTATGTTGTGAGTTTTTTCTAAAAAAATTAAAAAATAAAATCAACATAGTGCATTGCCCACAATCTTTAAGAAATAATTTTGTTCCCAGGGAGTAGAAAAAGAAAATGCTGCTTACATAATCATATTCCAAAGAAATGCCATCTGATATTTATGATTTCCTGAGGAGTACAACTCAAAATCCTGGGGATTATTTTGGATCATCCATGTAAGTGTAACGTAAAAGTCTCCCTGTAAATATAGTGCTGTCGTTAACATCATTAAAAGTAAAAATGTTCAACTTAATAAAAGATGTTTAAAAGTTTGTTTTTTATTAAAAAGCAAGCTCGCCAAAGATTCGTGTGCATAGTAAAGTCTGAGAAGCAATTTGAACAGCACCATCTCCCGGACTGCAGGACCTCAGTGTCTTTCCCCACCTTCACCCAGAAAATTCTTCCCTTTTCTTCTGGGAGTCCCCAGCTGTGGCACTATTTCACACCTCCTGCGTGTCGCGCGTCCCACGTCCTGGTCTCCGACCCCTTCCCCTCCCCCTGCCCGCCGCATCGCACCAGCCGGCCTCATCCAGGGCGCGGCTCCGCGGGCAGCGCCGCCGCCTGCGGCTGGTGAGCAGAGGACGGACCTTCCTCAGCCTCTGGCTTGTGGGGCGTCGCCTCGGCATCAAGAGCACGGCTGGTGCCCAGGGTCTCTCACTCTGCCTCTGTCCTCGGTTGCTGTAATGGGGTGGCGGAAAAAACGGCCAGACACCAGATTATTCCCGAAATTGTCGTCCTCTTTTCTCCTCCTCCCCAGGCAACTTTGTACCAAAAATCTCTCTCCTTTAAGGGCCGGCCCGTGGCTCACTCGGGAGAGTGTGGTGCTGACAACACCAAGGCCACGGGTTCAGATCCCCTTACCGGTCATCTTATTTAAAAAAAAAAAAAAAAAAAAACTCTCTCCTTTAAACAAACACGGAAGATACACCAGATGCCAACACACACAAGAGGCTCCAAATGCAGCAGGGCAAGAAAAGGAGGTGTTTCTCTCTCTCTCTCCCTGGAGATGTCTGAATTCTAGCTTCTGCTCAGCCGAAATTTTCTGTTACACCCAGGAAAGATATGTAGCAAAATATTAAGTGTTCCGGTTTTTTTTTACTGGATGGTAGAATTTCTCTGTTCTTATTTTTCTGTATTTCTAAAAATAAATAAATAAATAAATAAAATAAATGAATGTAGGGCTGGACACCAAAGTCAAAGTTTCAGATCCCCATACCATCAGCTGCCCCAAAATTAAAATGTAAAATAAATAAATGTGTGTTACTTATATAATCATAAAAACAAAGTGTTTTGTTAGAGGAAATGAGAAACTCCCCATGGTGATGAACTACATGATTTCAGCATGCATCTTTAAATAGAGAATTTCTGTCTTGCACAAATTAGCGTTTGAGGGTCACAAAGCCTTCCTCATACAGCTCACAGTACACAGAAAAGTCTTTTATAAGGGATGTGGGGTTTCAGAGACAGGAAAACAGTTGTGTCCCAGATCTTGGCAGGAGGTGGTGAGGAGGCCTTCTAGAAATCTATTCAGAACTCCTCCCCCAAATGAGGGCATGCTGACCTCTGTCATCCGTAAAGAGGGGCATTTTAAAGATAACTTACCCATAATCATACCAATTGGAGGTAATCCCTGCCTGATCCTTTTTAATCACTTAGGCCTAGGCATTAGATGCTTTGTTTTTTTTTGTTTTTTCCTTTTTTTTGTCTTTTTTCGTGTCCAGCAACGGATCGCAACCCTCAGTGTCGCTCCCGGACCGGGACCGGCAACGGGATCGCAACCCTCAGTGTTGCACCCGCACCACGCTCAACCAGTGAGCGGGAACCAGTCTGTATGTGGGATCCGAACCCTTGGCGGGAGTGCCGCCGCGCTCCTAAGCGGCGCACTGTAGCAGTGTGCCACCGGGCCGGCCCTTTTTTTTTTTTTAAAAAGATGACTGGTAAGGGGATCTCAACCCTTGGCTTGGTGTTGTCAGCACCATGCTCAGCCAGTGAGCAAACCAGCCATCCCTATATAGGATCTGAACCCGTGGCCTTGGTGTTATCAGCACAGCACTCTACCGAGTGAGCCACAGGCCAGCCTGGATGCTTTGTTTTGAATTTCTACCAAGGAGTCGAGTTGGTTAATTATCCTGGAAATGGTTGTTTTAAAGGATTTAAAATAATTTTGCTATTTTTTATTATTAGCAAGGATGAAAATTGTTCCTTTTGTTTCTAATTCTATTCCCTTTTTTTTTTTTTTTTTTTTTTTTTTTTTTTGACCGGGGACCGGCAACGGGATTGCAACCCTCAGTGTTGCTCCCGCGCCTCGCTCAGCCAGTGAGCGGGAACCGGTCTGTATGTGGGATCCGAACCCTCGGGCGGGAGCGCCGCCGCGCTTCCCAAGCGGTGCACTATCCAGTGCGCCACCGGGCCGGCCCCTAATTCTATTTCCTTTTATGTGAATTATCTGAACACTTTACAATGAGTAAATTTAAATGGTAATTCTAAAAAATAACATTAAAAATTAATGCATTCTGGCTGGCTGGTTAGCTCAGTTGGTTAGAGCATGGTGTCATAACACCAAGATCAAGGATTTGGATTGCCATATCAGCCAGCCACCATAAGAAAAAAAAATTTTTTTAAATAATGAATGGGTTCTGGGCCGGCCCGGTGGCGCACTGGATAAGTGCGCCGCTTGGGAAGCGTGGCGGCGCTCCCGCCCGAGGGTTTGGATCCCATATACAGACCGGTTCCCGCTCACTGGCTGAGCAAGGCGCGGGAGCAACGCCGAGGGTTGCAATCCCGTTGCCGGTCCCCGGTCCGGTACGGGGGCAACACTGAGGGTTGCGATCCGTTGCCGGACACGGAAAAAGACAAAAGACAAAAAAAATAAATAAATAAATAAATAAATAATGAATGGGTTCACTGAGGAAGATTTATTTATTTTTTTTTTTTTTAATTTTATTTTTTTAAGATGACCAGTAAGGGGATCTTAACCCTTGACTTGGTGTTGTCAGCAACACACTCAGCCGGTGAGCCAACCGGCCATCCCTATGTAGAATCCAAACCCGTGGCCTTGGTGTTATCAGTACCGCACTCTCCCAAGTGAGCCACGGGCCAGCCCGACTGAGGAAGATTTAAATACAGATGAGCAAAAAGTATTCCCATATTTATCTATATATACCTGTGTGTGTGTGTGTGTGTGTGTGTGTGTGTGTGTGTGTGTGTACACATGTATGGATTTTTTAAAAAACAGAAATGGTGCATTAGTAGGGAATTTTAAAATTGAGAGTGCCTGAACTTTACCAGTCAAACTAGCTTAGGCAAGAAAGGAATGTTTACTGACTCATAAAACAAACCTAAGGAAAAGCCAGGGTTATTTCTGGCCTCGGTGACCCAGGACTCAAGTGTTCTCAGCAGTTTCTCCCAGCTTCTGCTCTCTGCTTCCCTTTTTCTGCCTTCCTCTCTTTCCCTCAGACTGCAGTTCAACTGGCAGGAAACATGGCCTCATGTCATCCCATCTTTACCTCCAGAGAGGAAAAGGCCTTTTTCCTTTGGTTCCAGCTTAAAGTCCCAGGAAAGATCCCTGATAGGCCCAGCTCGAGTCACCTATGCTCTCCTTAAAAAATCATCATGGGCAAAGAGGCATGGTTCTATGATTGGCTCAGTCTGGGTCTAGTGCCCACCTCCAAACCCACCCTGAGAGTGGAGAGGGAAGATCAGGTAAGCAATTGGTAGCTTCCATCTGAACCACAGGGTACTATTTTGTAAAGAATGATCAGGTGCTATTTCGCATAGAAAGATAGTGTGCTGGTAGACAAATGACAAATATTCTTCACATACAAATGGGATCATATTTCACATAATTGTTTTGCCACATGCTTTTTTCATTTGTCCATGTTCTATGACATAATTTTAACGATAATGGTATTTAATGGCAGAACAATATTCTATTCTGGAATATAGCTGTGATGACTGGAAGTGACCATGAGGACAAGAGCCACAAACTAAGGTTGGCAGAGCAGGAAAACAGAAGACACCTAGGACCTTGGTGGCATCCTGGAGCTGCTGTACCAGTGCTGTATTGCCTACATCTATACTTCTTGATATGTGAGAATAACCCCTGAATTGGCTAAACCACACTAGTCAGATTTCTCTCGCATATAGCCAAATGCAGCTCCTTAAAGATATACATCTTGACAGCCTTACATTATTAGAGGTAGGCCAGAAAACTTATCATCAGTGGGAAGTGAAGGAGCGGGTGATGATAGGAACCTTAGGTTGAAGGGGAAGCTGGAACAATGGAACTTGTAGCCTCCTTCTTTGTTGAACTGTTGAAGTTCAACTGGCTCATAGAGCATCCCTAAGTCAACAAGAGGGGGTTGCAGCAGAGTAGAAATGGCAGTCGTAGCTGGACTGAGGGTCATAGGTAGCATCCAAGACTTCTTTGATCCTATGTAGCATGAAGGGTTCCAGAAGACCCTATGTGCTCCTAGTTTGGGTAATGGGAGTAGCTGAAGTGGACAGCCAGGAAGCCTCCCAAAAGATCACCATGTGTCCCAGGGTCTCCCAAGGAGCCCTGTGGCCAAGGCTTCAGGACAGAAGCCTGAGCAGGCACCTGAGAGAACAGGCCACCAAGCTTTAATGGTCAGTAAGGGATGCATTAAGTACTGAGGCCAATGCAGAGATCTGGTGCCATGAGCTGCACCTCAAGTTGAATGAGCAGGTGCTAGTGGAGAAGGTCAGCTGGAGAACCAGGGTTCCTTCACCCAGTGCTTCCCCTTGCACCTAGATAACACTTTGAGCAGGAGAAAGTAAAGGAGAGACCATTGGAAGAGACAGCTCTCATGGGGCTTTTGAATATTAAATTGGCTAAGGTTTACCCCAAATAAGACTGTTTTAAGCTCTGAGACCATTATTTTTAACTGGTAAGCTGAACAACTGTTCAGTAGTGAGAATCTCTTAAGGAATCTTAGTTTAATTATAGATATATTTTTAAAATGTGTACATCTGAGTTACAGTGTGTACATTTTTGTTTTCCCTTTTTTGTGACCAGTAAGGGGATTGCAACCCTTGGCTTGGTGTCGCCCATACCGTGCTCAGCCAGTGAGCGCACTGGCCATCCCTATATAGGATCCGAACCCGCAGCGGGAGCGCTGCTGCACTCCCAGTGCTGCACTCTCCCGAGTGAGCCATGAGGCCGGCCCTAGTGTGTACATTTTGACTATCCCCCTGGCTCCTCATATGTATGGAGGTACTTCAAAAAGACCATGGAAAAATATATTTAAAAGATACTATGACTCTTTCCATGGACTTTTTGATGTACCCTCAAATAGATTTTTTACTATAAGTTTTCTTAAAGAGGTGTCACAAGAGTTTGACAGAGTATGACACAAGGAAAATGTCCTAAAATCCTCTTTAGAACCTGTGATAGCCAGCTTCCAAGGTGGCCCACTGTGATGTTAATTTTAGGTGTCAACTTGACTGTGAGGATGTTTTTGGAAGAGACTGGTATTTGAGTCAGTGGTCTAAGTAAGGAAGGTCTGGCCTTACCCCGTGTGGGTGGCACTACCCAATCAGCTGAGGGCCCAGATAGAACACAAAGGTGGAGGAAAGGCAAATTCTCTCTCTCTCATTCTTGAGCTGGGACACCTTTTTTCTTCCACCCTTAGACATCAGAGCTCCAGGTTATCTGGCCTTAGAACGCTGGTACTTACAGTAGCATCCCTCCCAGTTCTCAGGCCTTTGGATCTGACCTGAGCCCTGCTACTGGCGTCACTGGGTCTCCAACTTGAAGACAGCCTATCGTGGGACTTCTCATCCTCTGTAATCGTGAGAGCCAATTCCCCTAATAAATCCTCTCTCATATACCTGTATATATATATATATATATCCTATTGGTTCTGTCTCTCTGGAGAACTCTGACTAATACACCTACTATGATCCTTGCCTCCTAGAATTCATGTCCTTGTATAGTCTCCTTCCACACTGTACGAAGGTTGGTCTGTATGACCAAGAGCATATGGCAGAAGTGATGGTATCTCACTTCCAAGATTAGGTTACAGCTTCTGTTTCTTTCTCTCTTAGATCACTCACTCTGGGGAAACCAGTTGCCATGTTGTGAGGAGTGGCTACAGGCAAGGAAACAACCACCTGAGGGAAGTTGGAGGCAGATCCTCCAGCCCCAGTCAAGCCTTCGCAGAACAGCAGCTCCAGCCAACCTCTAGACTGCAACCTCATGAGAAACTTTCAATCAGAGACACCCAGCTAAGCTCTTTGATTCCTGACCCACAGAAATAATAAAATAATAAATTTTTGTTGTTTAAAACCAATAAGTTTTGGGGTAATTTGTTATGCAGCAATAGATAACTGATATACTCCTCAAAATTTTTGTTTATAGCACCTGCTAAAAATCTTCCTCTCTTTTCATTCTCTATGAAGTCCTTTCCCAAGTTTGTTGTTGTTGTTGTTGTTGTTGTTGTTTTGTTTTTTAAAAGATGACCGGTAAGGGGATCTTAACCCTTGACTTGGTGTTGTCAGCACCACGCTCTCCCAAGTGAGCCACAGGCCGGCCCTACCATGAAGTTCTTTCACAGTTTCTCTTCCCTCTTCTACTTCCTCCTCTCTGCCACACCCTTAAAGCACCCAGCTCCGGACATATCATGGTCCACTCTCCAAGTGGCCACCTGGGGTACATGGTCTTGTTTTCTCTACTGACTGCTATTGTGTTGAGATCAAGCTTCCCCTTCCCACATACCTGAAAATGGTGAATAAACTGCAGAAGTAACAAGGCAGGGGCAGGAGGAACAGAAGCTGGACAGAGAGGCAGGAAATAGCCACCAGTCAGATTCTGTGACTCTTCGTTCATCTCCCTCCCCACTCCCTGATGACTGATTGAAAAGTCACATAATCTTTCTGATGGCAAAGTACCAGAAAGATTACTGAGGGGCCTGGACATGGGTTCAATTTTCCAGATCCTGAACTCTGTTCTAATTACATAAGGCCTGGCAATCTCTAGGTTTCCTGGATATTACTTGTAGTTTCTGGATTCCCATGAGATTTCCATTTTTCTCATTTCCATGTAACTAAAATACATACACCAACTAAAATGAGACATTTGTTTATAGTAGATGGAATCCCCCCAAAATGCTATATGGTTATCTTGCAGGTGACTATAATTATGTAGCAAAATAAAAGCCACTCATTGTGTGAGAATAAAAAAAAAAGAAGAAAGACAAAACATCATTGGGATTTTGGTAACTTTTATGGTTTATCTCCAGTGTGATGGGCTGTGAGATTCATGAAGGCAAGGGTCATGTGGGATTCCTCATGCACGACATTGCTTCAGTGTATGAGGTAACCACAGCGCCCAAAAAGATGTTGAGTATAGAACATGCCCAATGAAAATCTGTCGGAAGATGCACCATACATATCTGTTGAAGGAACGGTGGACTTAGCATCAAAGGGGTCTCTGCGTTAGCCCTTTGGCTGGACATTCTAAGCATTTTATGCTTCATGTAAGAAAATAATCTAAGTGATTCATTTTCAGAAATGACTTATCTGAGGGTGTTTTATTGAGACAATAATTAGTTCCTAGCCCCTTTTGTTTTCTTCATTTTCCTGGAGGGTCTCTGAACAGATAAGGCTCTCCCTGAGATGTAATTAGTTACTAGCATCCATTGTTTTCTTCATTCCCTGGTGTTTCTCCCTTCACAGGGCTTAAGTGGGCCTTTTTCGAGGGCTTGTCCTGAGCCCGCAGACAAAGGAATTCCTTGCAAGGGGGTAATAAATTTTAGGCACCTTCCAGGAAGATTGTGCACCCTGTAGTACTCACAGCCAATGAGGAGGCGGTGGGAGGGATTTGCGGACTAGGAAATAAATTGCTTGTTACAGCCCTTTCCCCTGTGCCTGCCCTTCAGGCACCCTAACCTGGCAAGGCCATAATTAAAGTCTCATTTTGCTGTACCATGTGTGTCCACATCCATCCTTTGGCATTGGATGGCTGAGGGGATTTCTCACAATTTGGGGGCTTGTCTGGGATCTCTGCAACTGCAGGACTGGGACCCCAATAGAGGGGGAGACGCGTCCCACCCGATTTCAGGTGGCCTGCTCTGTTTGGGTGCCCGGCTTCTCGCTGGACTGCAGATATACCCGAGACTGTTATTCTGAGGATGGCAGAAGCGACGCTGGGGGGAAAGAAAGCAGGCACCTCGGCAACCAGGCAACCTAGTGCACGAGCCAAGGTAGGAAAATCGGACTTTAAGTACTGCCTTGGTGGTCGGGCATTTTCGGAGGTCTAGTGTATGGCTGAGACGTATCCTACATACGAAGCAATGCGAAGTCTTGATCCGCGGTTCCATTTTCCCACAAGGGATGCGGCGGGAGAAAGAGGAAGCGAGTCCTGACATGTACAAGCAACCTCCAGTAAAGGGGGTTGAGTATCTCAGGGAGACTCAGACACAAGGATCACTGACCTCAGGTGCAAATGGGAAATACAAATTCTAGGCCTAGGGAAACAAGGAAGGGAGGAATTAAGGAGATTCTTCCCAACAGTCTCTCAGATGGTCCCTTGGGGGGAATATTAAAGGACTGGGAGAGGAATTCCCAGACAAGGAGCAAGGAGAAACAGAAAATGATTAAGTACTGTTGTTTTATTTGGACAAAGGAACCAATTTGTAAACCTTCAGACTTCTGGCCACAATTTGGCTCAAAGGAGGACAGGGTCTGCCAGGCCCTTGTCCTCTATGTTAACGGTAAATCCTCATCCTCCCAGCAGGAAAAGGATTATGCTCTATGCTGGTTACCAGGAGCAACCCCCATGTTTCCTCTTAAAATTTAGGGAGAAAAACCCAAGAAAGAATCCGGGGATCCACTGTCCTGCCTTCCTCCTCCTTATGCCGCACAGAATGGGAGACAAGAGGGCCCTAGGCAGACTGAATGTAAAGCCATATTCCAGCCTAAGGAAGGAACTAGAACAATGTAAGAAAGACCTTAAAAATTTTCCCCTCTCTTTGGGGGCCTCTAAGGAAACCTCCAAAATGCTTCCCCTTAGGGAAGTCCCCATGGGGCAAGGAGAGATCAGACTCGTGAATGTCCACCTCACAAGTACTGAAGTTAGAAATTTTAAAAAGAAAATGAAATCATTATTAGGAGACCCCCTCAGTCTGACAGACCAGCTTGGCCAATTCTTAGGGCCCAGCTATTACACTTGGGTCGAAATGATGTCTATAATGAGCATCTTCTTTACAGGGGAAGAAAGAGGAATGATTAGGAGAGTTGCTATGTCCATCTGGGAGACACAACACCCTCCTGGGCAGGGAGTCCTGTTCATGGAATAAAAGTTTCCAAATTTGGATCCCAAATGGGATAATGATGATCACAGAGATAGGGCCCAAATGCAAGACCTCAGAGAGTTAATCCTCAAAGGAATTAAAGAATCTACCCCGAGGTCACAAAATGTTTCCAAGGCCTTTGATATTCAAGAAGGAAAAGAGGAAACTCCCTCTGCCTTTTTTCAGAGGCTCAGAGACCAAATGAGGATATACTCCTAATACAACAGGGTCTCTTAAAAGTTAATTTTGTAATTAAAAGTTGGCCTGATATTACTAAAAAGTTATGAAAATTAGATGGTTGGAATGAAAAACCAACTGAGGAACTACTCAGGGAGGCCCAAAAGGTGTTTGTGAGGAGGGAAGATGAGAAACAGAAACAAAAAGCGAAGATCATTGTGTCCACAGTAGAAAAAAATAGAAAGAATATGGAATCAAACACTCCTCACCGGGGATGAAAGAACCCTAGATTCCAGTCAAGACATCACAGGGGCCCTCATGGATAAAACCCTCAGTCTATCAACAGATGGTACACAGGGGGGAAACCTGGTCATTTTGAAAGAGATTGCCTCAAATGGGAAAAGGAAGAACAGGTGATACCCCTGAAGATCTTTGACGAGGACTGGGGGGGCCAGGGGTTCCCTTTGGTAAGGTCCCACCAGGAACTCTCGATAAACTTAAGGGCGGAACCCAAGGAAGAAGAGGCAGCATTTTGACACGGGAAAAACCAGAGATCAATTTCTTTAAAACTGTATGCTGGTCATGTCCTCTACTTTGTCTTCCCTCAGGTTAAAGGGCTTCTGCTCAGTCCCTGTCTCTTAAATTCACTGACCATCATTTCCATCCCAGTGACCTGGTGTTGACCAAGACCTGAGAGGAGGACAAACTTTGGCCAAGCTGGGAAGGTCCCTACCAGGTGCTGCTCACTACCGAGACTGCTGTGCAAACTGCTGAAAAAGGGTGGACTCACTGTATCAGGGTCAAGGGACTAGAGACCTCACAAACAAGAACTAAAGATCAGTGAGAAGTGTGTGGGTCCCTGAGTCTTTAAGAGTAACTTTAAGAAAGTTACCTTAAATTATGTTGGTCCAAACCTGATGGATTTTAATATGTATAGGAGATAATTACTACCCAAGGCAATAAGTTAATTATCAACATAACAAAGACCTGATGCCTCAAACCATCCAATTTGATGCATGTCAGGTCCTCTCCTGTGGTAATTTAGAAAATCAGGGACAGGCTCTGGAGATTGAAACAGGATATGGGGATATAAATCCCGGGGTAGAATGAGTTAAATTTTCTGTGCACATATTAAACAAGAGCGATTGCTACACCTACGCTGCAGGACAGCCACAGGCAGCAGGTAGTTCCATTTTCTCTCAGTTAGGATACAGACCCAATGGGAATGCGCTGTATGATGGCTCTATATCAAGACTAGGACGTATGGAGAAACGAAACTTGCAGGAGCCTGTCGTTGCTTTTCCCTGCACTGCAAAGGTCACATCCAAGGGTGATTCCTTCCTTCTCCATAAGGGTGATGAATCACTCCTCTTGCCTCTCCAAGCAGAGGGAAAAATTCAATAAACCCATAGGAAATCTATTGACTTGTACCCACGTCCTAAATGTCTCTAGTGAGCCAGGTTATAACTACTCCAACCTGAACATCCCGCGGGTGAATGTTTGGTGGTATCATGTGAAAAGAAACTTATGTAATCTGTTGCCATCCAACTGGACTGGATCTTGTGCATTAGTCCAAATGGCAATTCCATCTACCTTGGCATTTCATCCCTCAGTTGAAAATAATAGTGTCCACCATCAAAAGCAAAGGATATTAGAAGGATCATTTGACTCTAATGTATACATAGATTCAATAAGAGTCCCGAGGAGAGTTCCAAATGAATTCAAGGCCAGAAATCAAATAGTTGCAGGATTTGAGTCAACACTCTTCTGGTGGTCCACTATTAACGAAAATGTAGACTGGAATAATTATATTTTACAATCAACAGAGGTTTATTAACAATACTAGAGATACTCTCCAGGGGGGTAGCTGGTCAATTGGATGCCACTAGCTGAATGGCCTGGGAAAACTGAATTGCACTGGACATGATTATGGCAGAGAGAGGGAGAGCTTATGTCATGCTAGGAGGGAAATGCTGCACCTTTATTCCAAACAGTACTGCCCCAGATGGGACATTACTAAAGCATTACAAGGGCTTACAGCATTGGCAAATGAATTGGCTAAAAATGAAGGCATCAATGATCCATTTACTGATTGGTTAGAGGGATCCTTAGGAGAATGGAAGAGGGTGGTAGCCTCGGTTCTAAATTCCCTTATAATTGTAGCTGGAGTTTTGACAGCAGTAGGGTGCTGCATTACACCTTGTGTCAGAGGCCTGACACAGAGGCTTACAGAAGCCACGATTAATAAACAATAATAATGTCCATGACCTATGCCCAAAATAACGTCACGCCAATGGAAGCTAACCCAGACTATGATGTACTCACAGCCAATGAGGAAGAGGCACGGAGGGACTTGCATACTAGGAAATAAATTGCTTGTTACAGCCCTTTTCCTTGTGCCTGCCCTTCACACATCCGAACCTTGCAAAGCCGTAATTAAAGTCTTACTTCGCTGTACCTCATGTCTCGGTGCCCATCCTCTGGCATTGGACAGGTGAGGGTATTTCTCACAGTTCATCATAAACATTCTTTTTTAAAAATTGCACTGAATCAACAAACAGGGGAGAGAGGCGCATTTTCTGCACTGTAAGGAGATGCGTTTATTATTTTTTAGGTAGAGGCCCGCCCAAAGTGACACCTGGCTTTCACATGAGACCCAGGAGCCTCCTCAGTTTGGAACCCAATACCTCATTTCTTCAAATATTTGACATCCTCTGGCTATTAACAGGTGTATTAGCCAATGGAAAGGGGATATGCCTGGGAGTTTGATGCTAATGGAAGGAGCAAAATGTCTGTTTTCTACTAACAGCTTCTGTTTGGGGTTTCTTATGTCCAGTCTGAGTTGGCCTGGAACCCGGCCGGCGGCAGACACTCTGAAGGCTCTGGCCACTAGGGGTGAGGCGGAAGACCAGCAGCAGATCAGCAGAAAGGCCAGACGGATGAGCTGCTCTGTGCTCGGGAGGGGCTCGGTGCCAGAACGCCGGAGACCTCGCGGTGAGTACCAGGCTTCTCCGAGGTAGTGGGGTGAGGCAAGGAGGTCAGCATCTGCAGATCCCACTCTGAAGGTACAGCATTTGGATCCCTCCCTCAGTTCCGGAGAGGTGGTTCCCGCGGTTCGGTAGCTCGGGAAATGGCTTTAGCACTTGTCACCCCTTGGAACTGGGCATCCCCGGGACTCCGCGTCCTTTGCGGTCTTGCTCCGGACTACATCTCCCAGAAGGCCGCACGGTGATTGACAGCTACTCTAGCCTATAGGCAGGAAAGGCTTCTAGTCATGGAAACTGAGAAGCCAATAGCAAGAGGAAAGGGGCGGCGTTTTCCGGCTGCGGGCTGTCGGACCCGGTGTCCCACCTGTGTCCCCACAGTCCTGTCACGAATCCCGGTCGGGTTCTGGGAGAGACCGCCTCGGCGTTGGGGGCCGGGTGCGGCTCGGCTGTGGCGGACTCTCACTTCCTGCTCCATCCCCGGCTGGGCCCGGGGGCGGTGAGTGACCCAGGGAGGGAGACTGCTGCAGGAGCCCGCGCGCTGCGGAGGGGAGTGGAGGGGCCCGCCCCGCACCCCGACGTTGTCTCTGCGGGATCCCGGCGCTCGCCTTTCGGAGCCCCCGGGCTTGCTGAGCTGTGGGGACAGGTAGCTGCGGTTTCTATACCGTCGTCTGGATAGCTCATCCTCCTAATCAATTTTCTTGTTCCTCGGTGGTGGTCCCCTCAGGTTTCAGCTCAGATCTTTGGGACCCTCTGACCTATGCACCCCGACTAGGGCCTGCAACTCCAAGAGGAAGAAAGGGTGTCGGCCCCATCCGTGCGGTCATGTTCCTATTAATAAACCCAGTGAACAAACTGGTGTTTCTCACAATGGCACTTAGTCACAGCACCTCAACGCTATGGGGACTTTGAAGTGACCTGGGGCGGGGGGGAGCTGGGAAGGAAACAGGGTTTCTATAACCATGGCTAAGAATTCTCTCCCCCTCAATCGCTCTGTTTCCTGCAAGTGGGCTCTGCAGTTGTTACTTCTTAATGACATTATTTTTGTTGTTGTTAAGGTTTTAAACCAGAGGGAAAAAATGTGTTCCTATGGTTTTAGGTCTTTAAAAACTCAGTACTTTATAAATGACCGATAGCAATGTCTGTAAATACGTACATAAATGTTTCCATGAAAAATGTATGTGTTTTAGTAAAAGTAAACAGGTGCTCTGATTGGTGGGACAAAAGATGTGAAAAAGTAAAACCTCCTCACCCCGATCTGGTCTTTCCTCCAATGAAATCCAGATTTCTTTGTAGCCAGTGGTCAGTCAGCTAGCGGACTTATGTTCATTTCTATTAGAAACTCTTTGAGGAAAAAACATTACCTTATATTTCTTAGTGACTCCTAATGCCTTGCAACATATTAATTACTGAATGAATTACCAATCCATCCAATAATCAACTCTGACCATCCTCCCAAAGAGTAACTTTTTCATGATACTGCTGTCAATTTATGACTGTATTAATGATTGGTTTCAGCTTCAAGGGTTGCTTTTTATGATGATCCACGTTGAATTTCACTTATTTTTGCAACTTATTCATGTCTTTTTTTTTAAAATCCATATCTTTTTAAGTGTCATCTCTGACTCCATTAAACCTTGAAGTAGAATGGTACCCAGCACTATTGGATTCTACATAGTCTGTCCTTTGAAGTTGACCTCAAAAGAGTCAGCTGTTCTCATAACTAATACTAGTATCCTTAAGTCCAGAATTCCCCAGCTTGCTAAGGAAAACATAGTTGGAGAGAATCTAAAGCTTCCCAGAAATCGAATTATACCTGCAAACTCTCTCCTTTATCTTGTCCATCATGGAGAATTTGTTTCTCAAAAAGTTAATGCATCCAAAAGACTGAGGGTTCTGTAGATATATTTGGGAGTCCCAAGCCTCTCTTAGTGATGGGGAAACTGGCCAAGGGAAGGATTATGAAAAAAAGAATAAGAAAAGCAACCCTTCTGTGGTTGACAGAATTTACCTGAGAGCTATTCTAGTCAGGGAGGGTATTTGGAGATACTGGTGGTTATCTCCTGGTTTTCAGACAATGGTGAGAATATTTAGGGAGCTATTGATGCATATTGAGGTCTCTTACTTTAGGAACTGATGACCCGTGATGATGTGGCTGGGGACTTCAGGAAAGAGTGGGTTACCTGGACACTGCTTAGAGAATCCTCTTCAGGGATGCCACCCAGCACAGTTAGAGGAATGGGCTCTCAAAGGGTAAGGATACTACTCTCCTCTAGTTTTAAGAAGTAGATGTTTTGAGAGTGGTCTGAGTGGTCTCTGGGGATGTTGATTTCTTAGAGCTCCAGACCATTGTGAGATTAATTGTTGCCTCTCTGACAGAACAAGAATGACTTCCATCTTTCTGGTGCTTTATGGTTTGCAGATGTCTTTGATATGTATTGTCTTATTAATATCTCACCATAACCCTTTGATATATGTGTCACTATCTCCCTTTTCCAGCCAAGGACACTGAGACTCAGAAGTTAAGTGACAGAGGTGAGAGTCCAACCCCTGTCTATGTGGAAAAGGGGGACCTGCCCCCACGATGTATTTACCTGTCATTTAAAAATAAACAATTAGGGGCTGGCTGGCCAGCTCATTTGGGAGAGAGTGGTGCTGATAACACCAAGGTCAAGGGTTGGAATGCCTATAGTGGCCAGCTACCAAAACAAACAAACAAAAACCACTTTCAGTGCTCTTTCTAAAATACAATGGCTACCCTCTTTTCCTGCTTTACTTCATATCTATTACACGATTAATATATACTTATGTAAGAAAAAGACAAGGAAAAAGTCATCCCTAATCCCACCACTGAAGGGTTACTATCCTATCATCTTTTTGAAAGCATATATAAATTTTTTTAAAAAACAAAAGAATAACACTATATTGAGATTATACTGTACATTAAGTCATATATCCTACTTTCTTATACATTGTATTGTGAATATATTTTGACCACAATAAATATCCTCCTATACACCACTTGAAATAACCACCTAATATTTTCTTGTGTGGAATACAATAATACAATATTATTTTGTTGTATGGAGTAGAATATTAGATTGAACCATATATGAAAAGTCTTCAAAAGTTCATGGAAAGGGCCGGCCCCGTGGCGCACTGCTACAGTGCGCCGCTTGGGAGTGTGGCGGCGCTCCCATTAGGGCCGGACCGGTGGCACACTGGAGAGTGCGCCATTAGGGCCGGACCGGTGGCACACTGGAGAGTGCGCCATTAGGGCCGGACCGGTGGCACACTGGAGAGTGCGCCATTAGGGCCGGACCGGTGGCACACTGGAGAGTGCGCCATTAGGGCCGGACCGGTGGCACACTGGAGAGTGCGCCATTAGGGCCGGACCGGTGGCACACTGGAGAGTGCGCCATTAGGGCCGGACCGGTGGCACACTGGAGAGTGCGCCATTAGGGCCGGACCGGTGGCACACTGGAGAGTGCGCCATTAGGGCCGGACCGGTGGCACACTGGAGAGTGCGCCCAGGATCGCAACCCTTGGTGTTGCCCCCGCACCTCGCTCAGCCAGTGAGCAGGAACCGGTCTGTATGTGGGATCCGAACCCTCGGCGGGAGCGCCGCCATGCTCCCAAGCGGCGCACTCTCCAGTGTGCCACCGGTCCGGCCCTAATTGTCTTTTTTTTTTTTTTTCCTTTTTGTCTCTTTTTTCGTGTCCGGCAACGGATCGCAACCCTCAGTGTCGCACCTGTACCGGTCCAGGACCGGCCACGGGATCGCAACCCTCGGCGTTGCACCCGCACCTCGCTCAGCCAGTGAGCAGGAACCGGTCTGTATGTGGGATCCGAACCCTCGGCGGGAGCGCTGCCACGCTCCCAAGCGGCGCACTCTAGCAGTGCGCCACCAGGCCGGCCCTAATTGTCTTTTTTAAAAGTCTTGTTTATTGAAGTATATTTTCATCATTTTTCTTAGAATTACCAGAATTACAATGCTGTGTCAAAGAATAGATTCATTCCTAAAGTGTTCGATACTTTGTCAAATACCTTCCAGGAAAATTGAATCAATTTATTTATTCCCAGAGCATTATATGGAAGTGTTCATTTCTTCATATTCTATGTATCACAGTGGGTATTGTAAGAGTGTGTGTAAAATAATAAGGATAGCTAACATTTACTGAGGGCTTACCACTTAATTACAATAACCTTATGGGGTAGATATCATTATCCCTATTTTATCGATGAAGATACTGAGACACAGAGTTTAAGTAACTTTTCTAAGGTCACATAGGTTGTAACCTTACAAGGCAGGGTTAGGATCCAAACCCAGACAATGTGACTTTTGAGTTTGCACTCTACTTCTACACTACATTACCTACGTCTATCATTGTTTTAATTTGAACTTCCCTGGTTAATGGTGAGGTTAATGGTTTTTCATATATTTATAGGCTGCGTATATTATTGTCTTTCGTCAATTGCCTACTCATGTCCTTTGCCTTTTTTTTCTTTTGTCTTTTTCTCAGGGCTGTATTGACTGCTGCCCTTCTAGGAGAATTTTAAAGGCCAACATTATAGTTAACTTCCTTGATTCTTTCTAAGGGTGAGGTCATGGCAGCTTTGTTTCTGATAAAATTCTGTCTCCACATGGGTTTAACCTTATGTCTTCAGAAATGAGTTATTGTGCTTACTCTAGAGTTTCTATCACCCAAGTCTGGCTTTTTTTTTTTTTTTTAGTAGGAGGAAAAGAGCTTTTTTCCTCAGCCTCCTGGGAGATCACCCTGTTTTATTACTTAACTGTGGTTGCACTTTCAATGAGACAAAACACACATTAGAATTGCCCTGGTATTCTCTACCTATGAAAGGAGGAGGGCTTGGATTTTGGTCAGGCCTTGTGTAATTGGTCAGATTCATATCCTATGTTCATCTTTCTGTGTAGGATTTCTAGACCAAGTGTAATCTCCCAGCTGGATCACAAAGAAGCACCATGGGTCCTACCATTCCAAAACTTTGAAGCAAGGAAGATCCTAAAGGAAAGTCACACAGGTGAGATGTGAGTGCTATCTGTCAGGAAGAAATCTAGCCTTTTAGCTCTTGTTTAGATGAAGCATTTGGAATACTGCCCTAGACTTTTGTTCTTACTATGAAAAGTTTATTTATTATTATTATTATTTTTTTTTTTTTAAAGATGACCGGTAAGGGGATCTTAACCCTTGACTTGGTGTTGTCAGCACCACGCTCACCCAGTGAGCAAACTGGCCATCCCTATATGGGATCCGAACCCGTGGCCTTGGTGTTATCAGCACCGTACTCTCCCAAGTGAGCCACTGGCTGGCCCCCATTACTATGAAAAGTTTAAATTCGGGGAAAAAAAAAGTTTAAATGTGTCTTCTTGGCAGTCAGTAATTGAATGAAGTCTTCATTTTGAGTCAGCATTTCATTTTTGTCTAGACTATAACATCTTTGAAAGGAGTTGCCCAATTTTGATAATACATGGTATATTCTTGAAGGACATCAAGATCACCTCAAGATTCATCTTAAATAAGAAGTTTAGGAATTCATGTTTCCTGTAAGCTCAATGAACTTCAATAAACTTCACAAAGTGAAAAACAGAGTGGTTGAATTAAGTGTAGTCTGCTGCAGAAACAGTAATTTTAATCTTTTTTACTGCTTTCTGATGTTCTTTCTTAATAGCTGATAACATTATTCTCTGTTACTTCTGTTAATTTTTCAGACTTTGGGCATCAGGTGGCAAAACTCAATCAGGACATTTCCGAAACAGCAGAACAATGTGGAAAATCCTCAGAAAGGACCAATAAAAATATTTTTCATACTCCTATTTGGGGAAGAAAGTGGGAAAGGGGCCCTGAATTAGTACGGCAACATGGAACCCTTCCAGGAGAGGGCCAGCAAGAGCCCTTCTCACAGGAGATGGATTTAAACAAGCTCCTGGATGGATATGTAGGAAAGAAGCCTGTGTGTGCGGAATGTGGAAAAAGCTTTAACCAGAGTTCCTATCTCAAAAGACACCTAAGAACCCATACTGGTGAGAGACCTTATAAATGCATCGAATGTGGGAAAGGCTTCAAACAGAGTTCTGATCTTGTCACCCATCGCAGAACACACACAGGAGAGAAGCCCTACCAATGCAATGGGTGTGAGAAAAAATTCAGCGATAGCTCGACGCTCATCAAACATCAGAGAACCCACACTGGTGAGAGACCCTATGAGTGCCCAGAGTGTGGGAAGACTTTTGGGCGGAAGCCACACCTCACAATGCACCAAAGAACCCACACAGGAGAGAAGCCCTACACGTGCCTCGAATGTCATAAAAGGTTTAGTCGAAGCTCAAATTTCATCACCCACCAGAGGACCCACACAGGGGTGAAACCTTACAGGTGTAATGACTGTGGGGAGAGTTTTAGCCAGAGCTCGGATCTGATTAAGCACCAACGAACCCACACAGGAGAACGGCCTTTTAAATGCCCGGAGTGCGGGAAGGGCTTCAGAGACAGTTCTCATTTTGTAGCTCACATGTGTACTCATTCAGGAGAGAGGCCTTTCAGTTGTCCTGACTGCCACAAAAGTTTCAGTCAGAGCTCACATCTGGTCACACACCAGAGGATACACACAGGTGAGAGACCTTTTAAGTGTGACAACTGTGGGAAAGGGTTTGCCGACAGCTCTGCACTCATTAAGCACCAACGGATTCACACAGGAGAAAGACCCTACAAATGTGGCGAGTGTGGGAAGAGCTTCAATCAGAGCTCCCACTTCATTACCCATCAACGAATCCACTTAGGAGACAGACCCTATCAATGTCCTGAGTGTGGCAAGACCTTCAATCAGCGTTCCCATTTTCTCACACACCAGAGAACACATACAGGAGAAAAACCTTTTCACTGTAGTAAATGTGACAAGAGCTTCCGTCAGAAAGCGCATCTTTTATGCCATCAGAACACCCACTTAATTTAGGCAATAGTGGTTCTGCTGCTCCCTTTCAAATTTCCATTGTTACTGTCGTCAAGTACCCCAAACCTGGGCATCAGTGGCCCAAGTTGAGCCCTGATCTGTTCTCTCTCTTTCTTTTCTATTTTATAATGGAGAAGACAAACTTATGGGGTCCAAATAATGTTCTGAGCACAAAAGGCATTCCTTCAATGTGTGTCACTGGTTCTTAGGGAAATGTGAGTTTAATGGTGGATGCCTGGTTACTTAACAAGAAGTGAGAGAAATGTGGCCTAGAGATCACATGTAAACCACCTACCACAGTGCCTGGCACAAAGTAGGTGCTCAATAAATAAGTGGAAACATCATTACTATTAATGATTAATATTTGAGGTCTTATATAAAGCCCTTAATGCAGTGCCTGGCCTCATAAAAGACACTCCACAAACTTGGTTGCTTTTATCAGCCTTATTATTCTATATGGAATTTGTTAGTACAGCCCCCCAAGCACAGAACTTGCACGAAATTAGATTTGAGCTAGAACGTTTGGGGTCTGAACACATTTAATAAGACAGAAACACTCTCCCAATCCAGTACTATGAAGGCATTAGTCACCAGATGTCTCACTGCCATGACAAGGCAGAATTATCATAAAGGATGTTTGCGGTTTTGTGACTTAGAGGCTGAAAGAATTTCAGAAGCTTTTTGTATGGCAGTATCTGAGGTACTTCCACTAGAGGTTTGCTGTCATCTGAGGCATAGAAAATATCTTATGATGAACAAACCAGAAGGATCTGGAAGAGGACTGTAAAATTGTGGAGTCAAAATTGCTGAGAATGTTAAGTGATATTACAGGGCTCCTTCCTAGCATTTAGCTGAAGGAAGCAACTCTTGTTTTCTAATTTGCTGGGTCACTGGCCCTTTAATTTTAGGTTAATGCAACTCTGATCCTTTTAGAGCCATTCATTTTATGCACTAGTACATTCCTATATTTAATTGAAACAAATTAAGGGAAGGCAGGGTGTTGGAAAGAACACTGACTTTGATGAGAAGGTAAAGTGTTTGAGTCCTGGCCCTGGCACTTAATTTGGCTCGACTTTCACCTTCTCTCAGCCCCAAGTTAGACCTGCCTCACCTACCTCACAAGGTTGTTGTGAGGATCTAAAACACACACACACACACACACACACAAGCACTTTGTTAAACTATAAGTGTAATATCTCTGAAGTTTGGTGTTATAGTACAGTTGCTAATGTCTTTTTTTTTTTTTTTTTTTTTAAAGATGACCGGTAAGGGGATCTCAACCCTTTTTTTTTTTTTTTTCCTTTTTTTGTCTTTTTTCGTGACCGGCAACGGGATCGCAACCCTCGGTGTTGCGCCCGCAACTCGCTCAGCCAGTAAGCAGCCGGTCTGTATGTGGGATCCGAACCCTCGGCGGGAGTGCCGCCGCGCTTCCAAGTGGCGCACTGTAGCGGTGCGCCACCGGGCCGGCCCAAGGGGATCTCAACCCTTGGCTTGGTGTTGTCAGCACCACGCTCAGCCAGTGAGCCAACCGGCCATCCCTATGTAGGATCCGAACCCGTGGCCTTGGTGTTATCAGCACCGCACTCTCCCGAGTGAGCCACGGGCCGGCCCGCTAATGTCTTTTTTACAAGAAATTCAGCTAACGTTTCTCAAGGTGTCTCCTTTTCTCTCATAATGAGGGACTTTTTTTTAACCTGTTGAAAAACTGGTGTGAAAATGCTAAGTTATATGACTCATTATGGTTCACACAATTAACAGAAGAGTCAGATCTGGCTGCAGGTCACTGGATTTCCAGTCTGTAGTCTTCTTCTTCAACACTCACTCAGAGTGCATCTGAGACACTACAGTATTGGAGGACCCATATTATATCCATCAAACCAGCCTGAATTTGGAAATGATGGAGGGATGTAGCCTAGGTTCTATAGAGCTTTACATGATCCTGTGTTGGAGTCCTTGATCCTGATGGAATGAGAGTGGAGGAGAAAGAGCAAGTGTAAGGGGTTAAGGAGGGGGTTGGGTACTGTATTGCTAGGGCTAGGGCTCACAGACCCCTCAGGCCCGTTGTACAGACTGGGTCACAAACTCTTCACATGCCAGGCTGGGTCGCCAGACCCCTCACACGCAGGTCCATGCTAGATAATTGGGAAAGATCTCAGAGGCCATTGGCAGATGACAAATGCTCAGTCCTCAGCAGCTTGCTGCAGCAGCAGTGGCCTCTCTGGGCATCCCGGGGGCACTGGCAACAATAGTTTGCATCAACAGCCAGCAGTAGCAGCCTCCCTGTAGCCCCCGCCAGGGACATTCCGGGGGGGGGCTGTGGATCAGAGCCACTCGTCCTTTATACTTAAGTCATAACCCAGGACACCTGGGTGCACGTGCGCAATTACATTAGACAATAACCAAGGAACACCTGGGCACGTGCATATTTACATCAAATGCTAGGCAAGATTCTGAACATGGTCTCTGACCATTTTCCTTCACTTTCCCTACAGTTACTTATCACTTTTTAGAAAGAAAAGTGATGGATTTTTTTTCTTCCAAGCCTTCTTACATTATTAGTACAGACTGAATTATTATATCATCCTTGGAACTCTACTTCACTCTATTTCTTTCTTTCTTTTTTTTTTTTAAAGATGACCGGTAAGGGGATCTTCACCCTTGACTTGGTGTTGCCAGCACCACGCCCTACCAAGTGAGCCAACCGGCCATCCCTATATAGGGATTCGAACCCGTAGCCTTGGTGTTATCAGCACCACACTCTCCCTAGTGAGCCATGGGCCAGCCCTTTCATTCTCTTTGATTATATAGAATGCCATCTGAGTGCTGTAACTCAAAGGGAGAATTCAGTTGATAATCTTAACTCCTTGGAAATTAGACAATAGACCAGGAAAAAAAAAAAATCTAGTTAATCGAGTGTGGTGGTTCTCAAAATGAGAGCCCAGAACAGTAGCATTAGTGTCACCTAGAAACTTGTTAGAACGCAAATTCTCAGCCCCCACCCCAGACCTACTGAATCAGACACTGTTTTATGTATTTTAATAAACCCTCCAGATGATTATAATGCACGTTCAAGTTTGAGAACCACTGCTTTAAAAGATGTCTCTTCTAAACATAGCCAAAAACTATTATTGATCCTAAAAAAAATCCAATCTTTAATTATCTTATGTTTTTGTTTTTTATTTGTTTGAGTCGAAATCCAAATAAGGTCTCTACATTCAATTGGCTGATATGTTCCTTACAAGTCTTGGTCTAGAGTCCTCCCTCCTCTCTCTCTCTATCTCTGTGTGTCTCTCTCTCTTCTTTTCTTGTAACTTGCTTGTTGTAGTGTATCCCACAGGTCCGTATTTGGGTAATTCCATCCTATGGTGTCCTTTAACATGCTCCTCTATCCCCCACTCTCCTAATATTGGTAGTTGGATCTATACGCCTGATCAGATTCATGTATTTTGGTGAGAATAGTCTGTAGTGATCTGTACTTCCATCAGGAGGTACCTAATGTTATTTTGTCTGCTTTTGATGTTAGCAGCCATTGATACTCCTTTATTTCATTTTGGGCTGCCAAATGGTGATATTTTATTACTATTATTCTATCTCCGTTTATTAGCTGGATTACCTCTATAAAGAGAACCCTCCTTTATCAACTCTTTGGTTTTCCTGAGGTACAGTTTGTACAGGAACAGTGCAATAGCTGCTTGATTAGAACTCCTTTGATTTTTTAATATTGCTATCTAAATTTCAGCCTCCATGACCTAGATCTCTAAGCCCCTTCTAGCAAGAGACCGTTTTGGCAGGAAATTTCTTTCTTTTTTTTTTTTTTTCCCTTTTTGTCTTTTTTTTTTTCGTGACCAGTAACGGGATCACAACCCTCGGTGTCGCACCCGTACCGGGACCAGCAACGGGATCGCAACCCTCGGTGTCGCGCCTGCATCACACTCAACCAGTGAGCGGACCGGTCTCTATATGGGATCCAAACCCTCGGCGGGAGCGCCACCACACTCCCAAGCGCCGCACTCTACTGAGTGCGCCACCGGGCCGGCCCAGGAAATTTCTAAATGTGTAAATCTCATAATAACTTTTCTAATGTACCCTGTTGCTCTTCTCTCCCCTTACTCCCTTCCAGTTTGTCTAGGTTCCTCATTAAAGCAGTATGCTAAAGAGCTCAATATACTCAAGTGATTCCTTAGTCGGGGATAGAATCTCTATCTTGCCAATTAATATTTCCCAATACTATACTGGCCTGAAACAGGCCTATTTTCTGGGAATGGTTTTATACCTCTTTTATGGTAATATGAGAGTATACCATCTTCATTTATTTTATCTACCCAAGTGTTGTTCTAAATCAAATGTGATTAGTATATAGACAATGGCAATAATTTGTAAAAATCAGATGAGAAGGTAAGGGAAGAGCCTAGCAGGCAGAGGTAAGGGGTAATTTACATGAAATTCAGGGGTTTCAGGGGGCCAGCCTGTGGCTCACTTGGGAGAATGTGGTGCTGATAACACCAAGGCCACGGGTTCGGATCCCTATATAGGGATGGCCGGTTGGCTCACTGGGGCGTGGCGCTGGCAACATCAAGCCAAGGATTTAGATCCCTTTATGGGTCTTCTTTAAAAAAAAAGAGAAATTCAGGGGTTTCAGGGGGCCAGCCTGTGGCTCACTTGGGAGAATGTGGTGCTGATAACACCAAGGCCACGGGTTCGGATCCCTATATAGGGATGGCCGGTTGGCTCACTGGGGCGTGGCGCTGGCAACATCAAGCCAAGGATTAAGATCCCCTTATGGGTCATCTTTAAAAAAAAAAGAGAAATTCAGGGGTTTCATCTTCCCCAGGGTGGAAGTGTTTTGACCAGGGGTAGGATGCGGAATGAGAAAGTACAGAGTTGAGTATGATATTCCTCAGAAGTGACATTCTGAGAATTTGCACTGGGATTAATCCAGCATGTCCTGGAAGAGTATCCTTCCCTTCCAAGAGGAAGCCAGATAGAGGACATCTGAGGGAAACCAAAGTGACATTATTAGCACGAGGAGTCCTAACCCCAAACCCAGTTAGGAACATGATTTGTGCTCATTGTGAGTGACACTAGATTTAGGAGGCAAGGTCTAGAAGCAGCATAGAACCAGGAGTTAGAAGACCAGCTCCTAGTTTTGGAGCAGCCATTTACTAGCTAACTGCCCTTGAACAGGTCAGTTACTTGCAAGATCCTTTCTGGCTCTAACAATTTATAAATCTGGGGCTCTCACAGTCCCAAGTACTGTCTGATGTAAGTAAGCTCTTCCACAGGTGCACCTTCACACTCTGAGAGCGTGAGAGGACACAAGCAGGGAATCTATAGCCAGGGTCCC